ATACATTAATCTTTAATATCCAGAAAATATAGAGATTTATTTTACTTTTAATGATATGATAACTATTCAACCTCTACTAAAATTTATCTATTTTCCTCAACTTTTATAGCTTACTAATATCTAGTTAAATTAAGAATATTCTGAAGGAAAATTCAATGTGTACAAATAAAACACTAACTTGATCATCAATCTTTCATGCCAAATATTTTAATTCCTAATGTTTGTATTCTTTATTTTGTGTTTTCAATGGATTAAAAGGTTTTGTATAAATGGATATTCTGTTCTCGGTACTTTTGCTGTATGTCATCTTTATCATTATATATAAATCCAAAAATAATCTTTAAGTTTAGTTAATCCTTTTATAACATTTGCATGGAACTACTTAAATTGAAAAGATTTATGTCTTTTTAAGGATTATAAAAAGCCTTATTTCTAAATGGCTGGGATATGATATTTAAAACATTATTGTATACAAGAAACATTTTAACCAAAAATTACATAGATATTGTACAAATTATTATCGCAATCATAATACTTATCCTTTATTTTACCATTTTCCTAAATTTTTTTAAAGGTAAATCAAAGTTATCAAAGAAGAACAGCTAATAAATGTTTGAAATGCTGAGTTTTGGTAGATAATTTTTCTTTCTATTATTTTTAATTTATGTATAGAGTTCCCAAATACTTTAATTAGGATTACTATTTATGACAAGCATACTTTAGATTGGATTCATATTTAATTATCGTTGTATTTTTAATAAAAAAAATTACATTGTTTAAATTGTGGTTGAGATATCAGTATTAACATTTATCCTAAGTTCATTCTTATACATCTAAGAGTTTAATCAATATTTTAATGAAGAGAAAAAAATTTTATTGGGATGGGTTCAAGCAATCATACTATCCAAAGGTATAACTATAGAGCTAATTTGGATCTGCAAAGATTTATTATAAAAATTGATATAGAACTGCAGAAGTTAATCACAAATTGTGAATAATCCAATATTTCCATGATGATTATTAATAAATAGTGCATAAAATTATATATATATATATATAAAATATTGAAACAAAATCTCTTATTTGCATAATGAAATAATTTTAAATAGGGATTATTTAACATTGATTTGATTTTAAATATCTAAAATTTTAAATAGATATTGATGATATATTAATTTAATTTTCTGTTAAAGAGATATATTTACAGAAAAGTGTAGATTTACTTGTTACACTTGCAATAAATACTAGAATCAAAATAAAAATATCTTGTAAGTCACAATTAAATTATTAAATTGAGCCCAAGTAAGGTTTATCTTATTCGTAATTCTCTGGTTCCTTCTTTTGATTTAATTATTAAAATGAAGGAATAGATTGTAATATTTTTATTGATTTGAAAGCGTAGAAGTTGCAAATTTTTTTATTTGTTTCGATCAGAAAGATACGATAGAAAAGATAATAAACTTTAAGAATCTAAATCCTTAAAAAAAATGAATCATTATTATTTTCTTAATTAGAAAAGAAGTGTTCCAAGATTCATTTTATAAATAATTTTCTGATGAACAATAATACCAAAATAAAAATAAAATGAAGCTCATGATTTGAAGATTTACATGAATTGATAGAAACATACTCTACTGTAAAGGAAGTATCAATAAAGAATATTTATTTACACACCACACATAAAAAGTCAGATTACAGAAAATCTGAATTAAAAACATTTTTATAAAATAAATTGGGAGGAAGAATAATCTATGAAAAACAACTTTTTAATAAAGATAAAATTTGGTGTCATTCATTTTTTTTTTAAATTAAAGCACTCTCAATCGAAACCCAACTTTAATTTTACAACTATATAACAATTTGGCTGTGCTATATTATACGACAATTATTTTTGATATTGATTTAGTTTAAGTAATAGTAATCAATAATTAAAACTATGCTAGCAATATTGATAGTTTTAAGCAAATTGTTAATATATAATTATAACTCTAAGAATTATAAATTTTACTTTTTTAAGTAGATTATCCAAAGGTGGATTTGTTAATTATCAAGTTATAGAAAATAATTATATACGGAATTATGTTTATCTAACTTTAAATTATCAATGCTATAAGGAGTAGAACTAGTAGATCAATTTGAATACTGGGTTAATAAAGCTTAGATAAAGACGGTCTATAATAGAATTGATTTTAATTCTTGTATTATAATGAGTAGATTATATTTAAAATTAAAGGCATGTTTTTAAAATTAATAATTTTTTATATTACAAAGAAAACTGGTTTTTCCAAATGCTTGGTATTTTTCTTTGTTTTATTGAAACTCAATAAGTAAGCATTATTATACTCCTAAGGATCATAAACAAAAGAAATAATTAAGCAAGAAAATTAAATATTTACTTGATATTTATCAAATTTGCTTAGATGGGGTGAACTAAATCTGATCAAAGATATAATTTGAAATGTTTACCAAGTTAATAGTGTATAAGAAATGAAAAAATAATTAGAATAAATTATGACATAGTAATTAAACTAATTGATAAAAGTGATGATAAATAGTAAATATTGACGAATTATCCATAAGTTTAATGATTATAATCTTTAAAATAATTAATTTATTTGAAACATCAATTTTGTATTATAAAAATCATTTTTTTTTGGGAATTTTATTGTAATTTTTCTTAATACACTGAGTTTGGTCAGTTTTTTGTGTGAAAGTTTAAAGCAGATTATTTACAACTACAACGCTTAAAGTTTATAAATTAGATACTGTCACTAAAAAAGTGGTCTTATTGTTGTTGAAAAAATGTTTGGAAATTATGCATTTTATAATTGTTTAATCTTCTGAATTGTAATTTCCATATGGTCAAGAGAAATCAGTTATTAATACAGTTTCCTTTAGATTATTAAGGGCATATCAGAAATGCAATGATGAAAATTTAAGGATATTAAATCAGGGATTAGAAGATTCGCAGGGGTTGTTGCTGGATATCAAAATTAAACATCAAAATAAAATTCAGGAAGATATTTGTTTGCATAACATATCAAACTTAGAAATATCAATTCTCCTTATTAAAATGCTAGAAATATTGCCTCTATCTACTGTAAAAGTGAAATTTAGAGTTACTAAAAAAATCTGGAGTTTCTTAATGATATGGATAATTATAACTTTTTTAAAATAAAAGTCTTCTAAATGTTGTTAGGTTCTCTGATAAATTTCCCTACTTTTATGAAAATAAGAAACTAGATCATATTAAGAAACAATTGAATTTGAAGTAGAAAACCAGAAAGGAGTATTCATAAATATGTCTTACAATTTATAGTTAAAAATCACATTCGTCTTTATAGAATCAATATCATTTTTATACTAAATATAATATTATTAAATTACGACTAAATCTTTGAACATTTTTCTTTTAATAGTGGAATATATCTATTTTTGTCTATTGATTGATAAATTTAGTTTGATGCCCACCATCATTTCTCTGAGAAAAAATTTTGAAGATATATATATCTCACTAATTTTAGTAAATATTTAATTCGTCAATGGGTTTTCCATGCAGGTAAAAAAGTTGGTGATTGATTGGTTTGATGTTAGAACTAAGATGTATCACTTTTTAAATTAGTAGAGGCAATTGTTCATGAAGGAATAAATTCATTATTTCAATGAAGTATATATAATACCAAAAACCAATATTTGCTTATGAAAAAAGTTGCTATAAGAATAAATAATTAATGATGTTTTTAAAATGGATTTACCCAAATCTATGAAACTTTAGAAAAATAGTATGAAGAAAACAATAGCTAAAATAGTCGATTATTATATAATTCAATTGATGGATATCAAGTTGGAGTGGCTTTTTTAGGTTACAGAAATAACAACAAGAGAGCACTCGATTTTTGTAATCTTTTTAATAAAAATCATAAAAAGATGTAATTTACAAGGTAATTTTTAGCATAGATGACTCATATATGGCAATATACCTATTGAATATTAAAAAAGAATAAGAGAAATTTAAATGTTATATAACTTGAAAATAAGTGTTAGGAATGACAAGCTAATTTATTGAAGTATTACAAAAAAATCTAGAACTTTATCTAAAGAGAAGAAGTGAAGGGAGATGAAGCAGAAAAGGATGTACTCTCTTAGTTCGAATAAATAAAAAAATTTATTTTTTCTGATTATTAAGATAGTTTACTATTAATATTTTTATTTTCTGAAGCTCTTTCCCATGAAAGAAACTATAATCTTTCAACTGATGGCAATATTGATAAATGCTAAAAAATTATTTTGAAAACGTTGTTGAGAAATATTAATATTTCAAAGATGAATAATTTTTTATGGGGTATAAAAATCAACAATAATGATCTTAATTTTTAATGAAGATTGTAACAAAATTTGATTGTAATCCTATCTATCAATTTTCAATTTAAGTAGAATAAAATTATAAAGAATATTTAAAACCAAACCCAGAATCTATTTTGTTATCAGAATAATTTATTTAAGATATTAAAGGGCTTTGAGAGAG